TATCCTTGAGTGGGGATTATTCCACTACGTGCCATTTACACCAGAGCTGGATTTAAGCTCTGAATATTGTGAGTAGTTCTACTATTCTATATACAATATTATTTACCGTTCATACTATACCATTGGAGTTTCCTTGTCTTCTGTTTTCTTCACATATCCATTTTGAAGCTGCGGATATACATCTGGGACTTCACATACCATTTTATGTAGCACTAGGACTACCTCCTGCATATGTGGATTATTTATATTCGGACTTTCTAGGTATCGCTGCTTGGACTCTCTGATACATATTTTTATACATTCATTCTACTTGTCTTAGGCGCACCCTTATTTGTGCTTTTCTCTCCAGTGTATTCCAAGGGGCTTAGAGGGGATTCCCCTTTTCCATAGGTGTGCTGCCTTGCTGTCATATTCTCTGTTTTCCTATCAGCGCTGAACCTCCTTCCTGATCTCGATTAATAAATCCATATCTGCGATCATGAGATCATTTTGGTGGGATTCTTTCAGGAAAGATGTTAAATAATATGTGCAGGCATGTTCTGTTTGTGCAGTTTCTAAGGTACCTCATAAGCTTCCATGTGGATTGTTGCATCCATTTCCCATACCTAGTATTCCATGGTCCCACTTGTCCATGGATTTCATTGTGGAACTTCCTAGTTCTGATGGATATTCCACTATGCTTATGGTGGTTGACCGCTTTTCCGAGATGGCTCATTTTGTTCCACTCAAAAAATTGCCATCCTCTCAAGACCTGGTTCTTATTTATATATGTGAAATTGTCCAACTACATGGCATTCCTTACAATATTGTATCTGACAGAGGTTCCCAGTTTGTGTCTCGGTTTTGGAGGGCTTTCAATAAACAGTTGGGCATTGAATTGTCATTTTCTTACTTTTACCATCCCAAAACAAATGGCACAGCTGAGAGGGCTAACCAGTCATTAGAATTGTATTTGTGTGGTTTTGTTAATAGCACTCAAGATAATTGGTCCGAGTTTGCTAGGAACAATGCTAATCATGACTCTTCTGGTCATAGTCCAGTCTTTGTTAATAACAGTCATCATCCTACTGTTCTGCCGGCTGTTTTCTCTGACACAGCTATCCCTGCTTTGGATGATCACCTTGCTTCTATTCGTGATACGTGGACCAAAGTTCACTCTGCTCTCGAAACTGCGGCTAATCGTTTCTAATTTAATGTGGACAAACGGCGGGGTGCCAACCCTGTTTACCAAGTGGGTGAGAGGCTGTGGTTATCATCGCGCAATGTTAAACTTAAAGTTCCTAGCATGAAGTTTGCTCCCAGGTTCCTTGGCACATTTCGTATCCTTCGTAGAATTAATCCTGTTTCGTATTCTCTGGCTCTACCTGCCTCATTACGCATTCCTAACACGTTTCATTTTTCTTTGCTCAAACCACTTATTTGCAATAGATATACTGTCCCAAGTATTCTGCCGCCCCCGTTGGTTGTTTCTAGCCAGGAGGATTATGAAGTCTCAATTCCAGGTTCTCTTTTGGTTCATTACAGTATTTGGTTGATTGGAAGGGATATGGGCCTGCCGAACGTTCTTGGGTTCCGGCCTCCGATATTGATGCATGTCGCAAGATTTGTTATTTCCACACCGGGTTTCCACTCAAGCCAACCCGGTGGGTGGTCTTCAGGTGGGGGGTAATGTAACATATTCATCCTCACCTTGCGGTATCTGCGCTCAGCGGCCATGCGTCAGTGTACCTGACTCCTGCAACATGTTGATGGCCGCTGGCCGCTGCGGATCCACGCACGTTCTGGGGTCAAAGGCCGATTTCGGCCAATCAGATTTGTAAAGGGCTTATTTAAACGAATTTCTCCTTCTCCTCATTGCCCTGTCGTGTTTTCCCTTAGTGGTTGTCTGAGAGTGTGTTCCTGAGCATTTAAATCTGGTTATTGACTTTGGCTTCATTTTAAATTCCTTGTATTCTGGTATTCCTGACTTTTGGCTTTCCCTTATCGTTGTGCCCCATTCTGTGCCCTTGACCTCGGCAAGTATTCTAACTATTCTTTGGTACGTTAAGTCTGGCCATTCTAAGACCCTGTAAGATGTTACCTTTTAGTCCTAGGTGTGATACAGTTCTACGTGTTGGATCAATTAGTAATCCAGACAGGCACCTCTCAATAAGCAAACAAGAGGTGCATCAGGAATTGCTCCCAGTCTCTGTACTTGTCTGTGAAGAGTACCATTGAAACGTTCACAGAGACCGTTAGTCTGGGGGTGGTAAGGTGAGCTGAGCAGGAGTCTAATACCGCAGACCTCCCATAACTGTTGGATAAGGTCTGCGGTAAATTGCGTTCCCCGGTCAGACAGGATTTCTTTCAGAAACCCTACTCTGGCGAAGATCCTGAGCAAGGCACTGGAAACAGTGTCTGCCTGTATGTTTGACAGAGCAACGGCTTCCGGGTAGCAGGTAGTGTAGTCCACCATGGTAAAAATATATTTCTTACCAGATGGACTGGGTTTAGGGAGGGGTCCTACCAGGTCAACGGGTATCCGGCTGAAAGGTTTGTCAATAATGGGCATGGATAGCAGTTGAGCCTTGGAATGATCCCCTTGTTTCCCTACCCTCTGACAGACGTCACAGGTCCTGCAATATTGTCGCACATCCCCCTGTCATGGTTTTCAGTCAACCTATACAAGCTACCTTGTTCCCAGACAAATCTCTCGTCTCCCCCCCCCCCCTTGCTCCGTCTCTGCCTTCTCTCTATATTTCTGAAGGGACAGGTCCTTCCTGGTCTCCTTCACAAACTCCCCGGGGGTGTCCCAAGTTAAGGGGTCTCTGGCCACTGTCAGGGTCAGGGTCAGTTGGATTCTTACCTGGGTCACCCAGCCTGGTGAGCTGGTTCCTGCTGTACGGGCTTGCAAACGGGTAGTAACTGGATACACGGTAGTGGATGTAGTAGGTAGGTACACAGAGGTTAAGGATCCCAGGTCATATCCCAACAAGACCTCAGCGGGCAAATTATCCATAATCCCTATGGTCACCATGCCGGATCCAGTTTCTCAATCCAGGTGTACACGGGCATTAGGAAGACAAAATACAGCTCCCCCAGCCACCCGTACAGCAAAGGTATGTTTAGAGCACTCCTCTGGTTTGACTAGGTGTCACTGGACAAAGGTTAGGGTAGCGCCAGTGTCTCGTAATCCTTGGGCCACTTGTCCATTTATTTTTACCTCCTGTCGGTGCTGCTGGCGGTTGTCTGGGGAAGCAGCTTGTGCAGTATCTGCCTCATTTAGAACTCCCAAATATTCCTCGGAGCTGGCCTCAGTTTCTACACAGTGAACAGCTGTGGTACAG